CATCTCCCTTATAATTACTGATGTCAAGCACCTTTCCATGTACCCATTGGCCATGTGTGCAAATTCACTGAAAAAAATGTTTATTCAGTTCGCCTGCCCATTTTTAACAGCTTTTTTTGGGTTATTGAATTGTATGTGTCTTTTATATTTTGGATGGTAATCCCTTATCATATACATGATTTGCAAATATTTTCTCCCATTCCACAGATTGCCTTTCAATGTTGTTGACTGATTATTTTGCTATTCAGGAGACTTTTAGTGTGATATAGTCCCACTTGGTGGTTTTCAAGTTGCTTCCCAGAGGGTTTATTTTCCTTTGAAAAGCACCCTATGATTTGTCCCCACTGCGGTCTTATGCCATACTGCCTTCCCCCAGAGCAGCAAGCTGGAGCCACCTTGGGTCTTCCTGGATAATTTGAAGGGCCGAGCTCCTCTGCTCTCCTTCCCTGGGGTATCCTACCCTTTATTCTTTCGAGGTCTGATATACCCACATCTCTGAGATTGCGGCTCTAAAGCTTTTCCTGAGGGTAGTTTTCAAATACCACCATCGATTTCACTTGATTTCTTTTCCCTCACAGCACTAATCACGATCTGAAATTAACTTAATTATTTAAGTACTTCCTTAAGACCTCCTTATGACTCCACATGAGCACATAGCTATTAAATATATGTTCCACAAAAATATCTCGTTACAGAAACCGTATTACTTATTATCCCATATGGAAACAGAGGGCACCCAATTGGCAATTTGAGGTTCATTTAATAAGAAAGCTCTTCATTAAAGTGTGATCAGAATGTAGGGGTACCATGGGGATAGGGCAGAATCTGAACAAGGAACACAAGTGACAGCAGTTGCAACACTAAGGCTGAAAGAATGAAAAGGGCTTAGAGACCCATGAAGCTGGAGGATGAGGGACCAGACAGGACATATGGAGGATACATGGAAGCAAAACTCCAATCTCATTCTCCTTATACCATCCAACTTCCTGCCAATTGGCACAAGGCAAACAGAAGCCAGGAAGGAGATAGAAATCTAGAAAAGTGTATAAAGTGGATCTGGAGGAGCCAAATAGAAAAGTGTTCATTGTCATAGTCTGAAACCTAGTAACATTGCCTGAATGAAATGTTTTTGCACAAATGCTCCCTGAATCTAGTGTTCCACATTGCAGTCCTCTAGTTCACCCTCTGTTCAAGAAGCAGCTCAAAAAAAAACATTTCCTGGGTTGTCACAGACAATATTTTAATTCTCATATGTAATATTGCATTCTTACATTAAATTGTGATCAATATATTTAATACATTATTACAAAAGAAGTGGGGTCCACAGAGATTAAGGGTCTTGTGTGCATGGGGGTGATCATGAAGGGAGGTTATAAACACAGCAGACTAGTGTCCTTTGATATGTTGTTTTAAATTTATAGGGTTCAGCCATATATCTTCATTCCACTTGGCAGAAATAAAATCTATATTTTCATTCTCATTTTTAACTCTAGTTATATTAATTACATATGTTGGAAAGCTAATCAGGTTTAAAACATGTGAATCATGTAAGAACCCAATGTATATTTGACTATCTACTCTTTTTTCCCCCAATAATATTTCAGAAATATATCAAATCAATGTTTGCAGTATCACTTCTATGAAGCACTTACATTGTTCCACAAAGTGCACTTTTTTTCTTTTGAGGCTTCAGCTATTACCATACAAGGTTGTCACTCTGTCTTACATAGAAACATTGAAAAATAGAGATGGACAAATGAACTTAAATGTGAGACATGAAATAACAGAGTGTAGCATTTCCTTCTGCTGGTTACATTCCACCAGCACTTAAGCCAAGTCCTTGACAAAGTTCCTCTATGCTCTAGATCATAAAATGTACTTTTGCGTTTTTGGTTTTATGTGAGAAATTTAAAAAACAATGTGTACACATAAGTATTAGCTATTGAAAAGTATGTTTGTCTTCCCTTAGGCTTTTTCCATAACCCTCAATGTTTACTCAAATTGAAACTTTGCCTGATTCTTCAGATTCAGTTGTAACTATTTAAATTCTACAAATACCACATTTTATTTCTCGGAGACAGGGGTTGTAAGTTACAATGGTAGTGGGGACGGAGAAGCATGTCATACTTATCAGTGCAGATTTTCTCTGAAACTACCTGTACAGCCCTGTTTGCTCTCTAAATTCCAACACATCTTCCAACTGAGCAGCAGTGTGCTAGAAATGGGGCCAGAGGAAGCATGTAGGTAACCCACCAGACTCAGGACGGAGCAGGAGGGCTGTGGAGTTTTAGGTGTTGATAACCGTACCAATCACCAGAAAAAAAGTCTAGTCTTAAATAAATCTCATGCTTAATGTGTGTGTGTATAAAGTTTATATGTAACACATTTATACATTCTCATATTGGAACTCTTAATATTAGAAATAAAATGAGTAAAATTGTATATATATGTATTCATATTGGAAATAAATGATAGATCTGGTTAACAACAAGGCAGTGCAAAATGCCTAGGAATTAAACCCAGGCATTTATTTGAAAAATATAAGCCCTGGAAGTCAGACAGAAATCACACAGCTTAAGACATGTATGATCAGGCCATTGAGTTGCAGAGGTGCAGAAGAGACTTGAGAATGAAACCTCAGGACTCTGAGCCAAAGGGAGGAAAGACAGATTAAAATTCAAGGGTGTCAGTGCCAACACATGAATAAAACACTAGTAGCAAAAAATGGAGTTTGCCTTTTTTGCAATATTTCCTGCCAAGGGTTAGAAAATATCTTAGACTGTAGTTAATCTGAACTAGCAACAAAACAGCATTGGCTAAGTTGATAGTGGGAATGTTATCGATGAAAGTGGGGTTCTTGTATTAGCACAAGGAAAACATTGTCCTGAGATCCACACAGGAAGTGGGGACTCGGTGGTGAATTTTATCGATGACATAAAATTAGGAGGCTCCTCTCCTGACTTCCAATATTTCATCTCCATCCATATAACCATAGAAAAAGCCCACTCTTATCTTCAGTAGGGGCAGGATAAAGGCCACTGCCCAGAGTTTCTGCTCTATATTGAACTCCAGTCCAGCATCCAGCTAGACTCGTGTGTGCTTCAAGCTGCAGGCCATTGCTGTGCTGAGGTATTCAGGCACCTGCTAGAGTCGGCAGGTAGAGTCCCTGTGGTCATAAGCCATGTAGCTCTTAAGACCACGTGGCCATGAAGAGAGGGTACGCCAGTGAATAAGGACAGTGCAAGTCCATGAACATGAAAGAGAGAGGGAGTTCTTTGTTCCCCTGGTATTATAACCAGTATCTTGGGTTTGGGATGGACCAGATACTTTCTCAAAATGACCATTCAAGTTCTCCAGTTTTTGCAGGCTTTTGATGCCACACTCATCCAAACCCATAGACTAACAGGCCTCCTGGGTCCAACACCTCCCTCTATGATCCCTATCAATCTGGTACCTGAGAGAGGGAAGGGAGGAGTGTTAACCCCCTTGGCAGAGCACTGCTGTGATACCTGGAGTGTAAGCTGTAGCTTCCTGGTGAAGTCGGCTGGCTCACACTCCCCACATTATTAAGCTTAATATTTAGTTCTTTTTTCTCCCCTTTCCTAGGAATAGTCAGTTAAATGCTGATGGTAACTTTCCTCCCTGAAGACAGAGAGGCTTGTATTTTTATAAGAGTAAATATATGAAAGTCTAATATTCTGTAACTGCTTCATGATCTCAAAGGGGCAGAGTCTTGTCTATTCCCAGGCCCATGGGGTCTTTCTGTTTGCTAAAGGAAAGAAGGAGCAAAGGAGAAGGTAAGTATTTATATGGGGAAGAGGGGTTTTGCAAAGTCCAAGTCAGCCGGCTGTTCCTGGGAGGTGGATATGCAATTTCTGCAGGATGGCGTTGTTACAGGACGGCTCTGCTGGAAGAGCTGGCAGGTTTGTTGCATTCTGGAAGTGACACATCTGACACAAGGTTAAAAGGAATAGTACGAAAGTGAGGAGAATCATAGCAACTAAATATCAGCTGAGGGGTAAACACCAAGCAGATATTGGTATCGGTTTTTTGATTTGTATGCTATACATGGTGTGCTACTTTATTTAAAAAACAAAACTATCAAAGACACATGGATTTAAGGCAAATCTTCTGCCATCTTATGCTAAAACCATTGGCTATAGATTGGGGTATTGTACAAAATTTATTTGTATTTTTACTTGCAACCAATCCATAAGGTTTTAGTTATTTCACTATGAATATATATAAATATAAATTAGTTCTGCACTTGGACACAGAGCAGAAAATAAATAGGATATGTAAATATGTATATATACAATATGATTCATGATTTTAAATTTAATTATTGATAGATTCATTCATTTATTCAGCCAGTCTTTCAACGAGACAGTTGGTCTCACTGAATTCCTTCTAAATGGCAGGCACTGTCAAGATGGTGAAATGACTTGGTGACAAGAGAGACAAGGTCCCTGCAAAGTCTAATGAGATCTGATTAAAAACATGTGTGACTGTAATAACTATGAGGGATTCTGAAAAACCTAATATGTTTAAAACAGTAAAGTAATCTATTTATTCTAAAAAAAAGAAGAAGAAAAAGGCAGTCTTTAGAAATCTTTCACTCAGGTAATCTCTTGTATTTTCGTATATATATTTCAAACCCTATTGTTTAACATTTTCATTCCCTCTTATAGAAAGGATTCTTCTGTGCAAATCACAATGGACCTAGTTGACTGAATGAATGATGACCACCTTTTAGAGCTGATACACTGTTCTTTAACTATATTCCACAGTGCTGCACATTTCATTATACGGCCGTTACCATAACATGTTTAATTATGCTCTAACTGTATACTGGGTATTAAGCTTTTTAAAAGACACAGTATTTGTGGTCATGTCTTTGCTAGTGATTCTAGGTAGAATCATTGTCTTGTTGCAGGCTGTTTTATTTTGGAAAATACAGCATTTGTGATATTTATATTTTGTTATTTTTTCCCTTTAAGGTGTGATTAGAACAGCTTTGCCAAACATGGACAGGGAAGTCAAAGAACAATACCAAGTCCTCATCCAAGCCAAGGACATGGGTGGACAACTGGGAGGGCTGGCCGGGACGACAATTGTCAACATCACCCTCACTGACGTCAATGACAACCCTCCTCGGTTCCCCAAAAGTATGTGCTTTCCCATCGAGTCTAAATTGGTGCAGCTTTTTAAAAACATTTTTACATCTCATTAAATGCTACAGGAGTTCTAACTGCTTTCCAGATATTTTTATTATTTAAGAAGTAGAAGATATGGATAAAAATTAGATGACTTCAGATTTCAGTTTTTCATTAGACTAATATACAGTGGGACTTTAATATAAAATACTATAAATGGGTCAAAAATTGAACAAATAAGCCTTATGCTATAAATTTCTATTAGAAAACATTCACAGCAAATTGGGAAATTGCTCTAATTTATTATTGATTGAAAAAATAAAACGCAGGAAATTGCAATGTAATTTAAGATGAGCCACCGGATTCTTTGCTATATCATGTAACTTCCATAAGCTTTCTGTTTGCTCTCTAGTGATTACCTATGTTGACTCATTTTCATACACTTTTGCGTATCAGATGATATAAAAGTGATTGTATTTACTTTACATTACTTTACTTCTATTTTATTTTAGTTTTAGAATAGGTAAATATTGCTACAGTTTCTATGGTAACATAATGATTCATACCTGTATCTTCTCTCTAACTTCATTTCTCATTGAAAATGAATACTTCTTACTTGTGTATTATTTTTTTCTTTTGTAGTATTACATTTAACAGCAGTCAGTATATGTTCCACTTCTGGTACATGCTCAAGGATTAGTTCAGTGTTCTTAGGGTTTACCATACAAAAACTAAGTGTTTCTATTGTTGTTCAAATAAGGAATTGAGTAAATAAATAAGTATTCATTTGCATGAATAGTTTAAGAAACACATACAAAATTGGTTTACTTTTCTGATTCCAGAAGGAGAGTTTAAGTTCGCCTAATAAAATTCTGTAACACTGAGACTATGTAACAAAATGTGCCTTTTGGTCCTTCATCTGTATGGATTTCCATATCTTACCACTTTTTCATTTTTCTTAAATTCATCATCTATTTTTATAAAATGTATTTACTTAGTGATCAGAAAATTTATTTGCCAGTGTTGCAAGTGGCAATTAGAAAGCGTTACACTTCACCAGATGGAATATAGATGAAAATGGTTAGGATATCTTAGAATGGCACTTCCCCTTACTTTGTTATTAAGGGAAACAGAAAAAAAATATATGAATAAATATTAAAAAGGAAAAACGCATGACAGTAATAAAGGATATGTTCCCAATCCAGAAAACACTGCTTTTCCCCCTACTACATATATGAGACAATCTATAATGGTTGAGGAAGATGGTTTGGATATTACTTCACTTTTAAATAAAATGTGGCATGTGAACATGGGTCCTTTTTTGGGTTTTGTGCCTATAAGGCATGTTCAGTGTTGAGTATAAGAAATAGCAGAAATCTTGGAGAGTGTCGATCTTCATATTCACAAGGATGATAATGATGTTTTTCAGTTGAGGAAAATTTCCATTGAATTGCAGTCAATGGAAAGGCATAACTCTTGTGGATACGAGTGAAGGATGGTTTGTAGAAGTTTGGGCAGGGAATGAAAATATTTCTATGGGAGTGGAGGTAGAGGAGTGTGCTTAGGACACCAGGCTGGTGAGCTGAGGTCCCACTGAAACAGAAGGGTCACTTCTGGATCTTACCCAGTGGAAGAGGGTCTGGATACTACAATGAGCTTGTTTTAAGTTGCATCTGTAGGTTTAAGGGTAACTAGATGAGACCCACCAAGAAAGATCATGGGCATAAGGGCATTGTAGAGCATTTACATGCTGTACCAAAAACCTGATAATCATCTTTGTTCCTTTTATAACACTCTAAGGTACAGATTTTCCACATTTTACTGTTAAGAAAGCCAAGGCTTAGAAAGGTTAAAAACTTCTTAGAGAAGTGACAGAATTTGAAGTTCGAATTACTTCTAGTGTGAAGTAATATGAAAATCAAAAAGTTATTCTTTTCTTTTACCTACTCCTCTAAAACCAATTTTTCTGAACACAGCTGCAAAAAAGTCACATGACATGTGTTGAATTGTCAACATAAACGGAGAAATGAGATGGCAGAGAAATATACCAAGTAGATCTCTGTGATCAATTATTTTCTGCTTATGTTACATGCATATTTGAACTACAGTCTGAACTGTAACAGGTGAGAGATGTTTTTGAATCATGACAAAAAAGGAGCTTCCACACTTTGCATGAATAAAATATTAATTCCCTTGAAATGTTACATGCTTTTGTGCCAAGCTCTTCCTACTGTACTGTCACTTTGAATTACATCCTTCAGAGGAAAAGATAGAATCCATTTATAAACAGAAAACCATCCCCTTAGGAGCTAATGCTCTTTTTTGCAGGAATATTTCTTGTGAGGGACAATTAAGCTGCACATATGACATAAAGTTACAGGCTGAAACAATAGTCTTTTGAATGTAAAAGTCAAGGTAACATATTTCATAGGCAACTAACTAACTATATTTCTTCATGCCTGTTAAGATATTACATTGAAAAAAAATCTTCCTTCAGAGGAACTTCATGAGTCACATTTTTATTGCTTAAAATGTGCAAGATAATTTCTTAATATTTACTAATCCTATTTGTGGATTTCTGTGTGTATTTACACATATGTGACATTGGTAAACACCCATTGCATTGATTTTTCTATAAATCTGTTAGAGACAAAAATGAATAATATATTCACTTGCATCTTGCAAAATAAATCATTTGCTATTTCATTGTTGTAAAATAGATGGTTCACAGGCTCTCAGGACTTCCTGCAGATTTGATATGATCAGGGTGACCGTGACATGACTGTGTGTCATGTGCTAGGCAAAGTGATTTGCACGTATGTTCCCATTTAATCACTGTAATGACAGTATAGTGTTAGCTGAATTTTAAAGAGAAAATAGAAATGCTATATTATTAAAAATAATTTGAGTAACTTTTCCAAGACTACACGGCAAGTAAGTGAAAGAACTAAAACTTAATCTTATGTACAGAGTTCTGACCTCCAACTTTTTATTACTGTCCTTTCTAGAAAGCAATTTATTTTTGAGGCCTGTGTTTAGCAAAAAAAATCCTGCACATCCCAGAAAACTGTTCACAAAAAAGGTAGTAGCACTGTTTCATAAATATAAATAATTTGTGGTGTGTTGGAAGAGCTCTCCTTGCCATTCATATAGTTATAAAGCTACCATCAGTGCTAATCAAGAATATCCATAGCAGGTTTTTATCTGCTCAAACAAGTTATAGAAACATGCTGATTATTTCCATTACTTGAATATTAAATGACAACTCTAACTAGCTGATCTAAATTATGCATTATGAGATCAAATCAATTAAGTGATATGGTTAATTCACATACAGCAAAACATTCATACTTTCCCACTTGGTCTTTTTCTGCTGTATAAAAATTTTATAATGAATATAAAAACAACTTAAGTGAAATGAAGCACTTCAAATGCAATTTTGAATGAAAAGAGAACATTTATAGGAAATGTAAATAATTACTTATTTTTTTCTTTTTTTATACAATAAGAGAATAAAAGAACTGTGTGTTTTGGTTAATGAAATCAAATTCATCAATAGAAAATAGGACATTCGATTTGTTCTAAAATAATTTCCTAGTCATAAATAAAACACTATTTATAAGCAAGTTGTTTTAGCCAAATGCCTACCAACATGTTTGAATTGACTGTTTCTAGCTATAGGAATGATGACTTAATTTTATTTTAGCCTGAATAGAACACAATTGAAGGATTAAACTAATCTATGCAGTCTCTATTTTCTTGATATTCACCAAATTATTACCACTGAAGTATACAGAAATCTGTTCTTATGTGAAGTTTTAGTCTTCATATTCTGTCAGAGCATATTATGTAGAAGAATGTAGACTTCCGCCAAGATGGAGGCATAGGTGGATATACCGTGCCTTCTCACACAACCAAGTTTAGAGACAACTAAATATTAGCAATAGAAAACATAGGCAGAAGACAAAAAATTGAATTTTTCGGAAGTCTATTAACAACAAGTTCTTCAGCCTGACCAGTAAGGGGCAAAACCAGCAGCTGGTGGAGCGGGGTTGCACAGGAAAACTTGGTCAGACGTACTCAGGATTGGACCTAGTGAGTGACCGAGGGAGCGACCAAGCGAGCTACCACGGGGAAACAGCGAGGGAGCAGGGCTGCGGGTTGACTGTGGTCGCACATTTGTGCTTGGATAGACAAGAGAGGGAGTGGGCAATTGGACTGGGACCCAGTGGGTCCCAGCGGCCAGCGGCAAGGAGGGTGCCACCATTTCCCTGCTCTGACCCCGCCTCCACATACAGCATCATAACCCAGCTACTCTGAGTGGCCAGGCCCTGGTGAACCACTTAAGGTTCTGCTCCTCACCCAGCGGCATGGCACAGCAGGGGGTGCCACCATTTCCCCCGCTCTGACCACGCCCCCACATACAGCGTCACAACCCAGCGACCTGGGAGTCCAAGGTTCCGCTCCTCACACTTAAAGGGCTCGAACAGACCAAAAATGGCTCAAGAAGATCTCAACGCCCCAGAGCCTATCAATCTAAATGATGAAGAAATAGCAAAACTCTCAGACGCGCAGTTTAAAACACTGGTGATCAGGATCCTCACAGAACTGGTTGATTACAGCCACAAATTAGACAAATATATGAAGGCAAAACTAATTGAAATGAATGGAATTGCACAGGAAACCAATAGTAATGGAAAGGAAACTGGGACTCAAATCAATGGAGTGGACCAGAAGAAAGCAAATAATGGCCAAACAGAAAAGAGTCAGGAAGCAAGAATTCAAAGAAATGAGGAGAGTCTTAGGAACCTCCAAGACATCTTTAAATGCTCCAACATCAGAATTATAGAGGTACCAGAAGGGGGAAAGGCACAGCCACCAGTGGAAAACTTCTTTGAACAAATAATAAAGGAGAATTTCCCCAACCCGGCGAAGGAAATAGACTTCCAGGAAATCCAGGAAGCTCAGAGAGTACCAAAGAAGTTGGACCCAAGAAAGAATACACCAAGGCA